AAACCTAGGAATATAAAGGGTGAAATTTACCGAGGAGGCGTCTTTGAAACGTAGCAAAAATCTAAAGGGTATTACACACTATTTTATGTAACGGCATTACAATCAATTTACTTATTTGACATGGATTAAGAGAGAGTTACAGATTGGCATCAGTAAAGAAATATTTAATACATTATTTTGGACTAATATGGTTGCTGTTAACAAATTCGAATTGTGAATGGTCGACACAAAGATGGAATGGCAAACGATTTTACTTTTTGTGGTTCGCGTGGCATGAGTGTCGTTGATTACCTTATAGTACCGTTTGACTATTTTCACATTGTGGAACAGTTTATAGTTAGTAACTTTACTGCGTTCAGTGATCATGCGCCTCTTCACATACGTCTACAATGCAAAGCGTTGTCTTATACACATGAACAACAAAACCGTAATGTATCTACAAGTACATTTGACAGTTTTCGGTGGAACGATGAATTAAAAGAACAGTGTTACTAATCCTTAATTTTGAATAGTGGGTTACTCAGCCGAATAGTTTTTTGTGATGCTCAAACATCACAAGATGGTATTGACAATTATATTGAAACTTTTACTACCCAGTTAACGGACATTGTTGCGCCATTTTTTAGAAGTACCAGTAATAAATCGAATGACTCTCAACGTACTAGCCGAAAAATTGTTTGTAAAACTACTGATAAGCCATGGTTCAATTGTGAGTGTAGAAGACTTCGTCATGTTTATTTAAGTGCGTTAAATATGTTTAATAAAAACAAAATAGCAGAAAATCATCAAAGACTTATCACTACGAAGAGACAATACAAAGTGTTCGAAGAAAAGTTAAAACGGCAGTATAAACACCAAAAAGGCGACATGCTTGAGCATCTACGTAAAAGCGACCCTAAAAAGTTTTATAGAATGTTTCAAAAGAAGCGCGCTAATAATACAGAAGTCCCCCTTTCATCATGTTTTGAACATTTTAAAGAGTTATCTTCAAGTAACACTCCAATAGTCAATGACACACAGAGTATACAGGACACTATTTCCGACGCTACATTCGAAGAACTTGACCGTGTTATCACGCAGGAAGAAATTTTTAAATGTATTTCCAAATTGAAACGTGGCAAAATAGTTATCAAAGGTACCAGGATTATAATTTAATACGTTAGACACGCGTTTCGTCTACATAAGACTCATCAGTGACGCTCAAATCAAAATAGTTATAAAGCCAAACAAGTACAAAGTTGAAGAGCACTGAGGACCCAAAATTCCAAAAAGTTGTGCCAAATAAGGCTAAGGTTATCTATTCCTAGGATAAGAAAATCCTTAGTTTTTCGAAAAATTCAAAGTCATGGAATTGACGGGATTCTGAATTCTGAATGAAATGTTAATTGAATATAAGGATGTGCTTATAGGAAATGTTCAACAGGGTATTGTCTTCTGGTTACTTTCCGACGACATGGACAGTTGCGATACTTGTTCTAGTTTTTAAAAAGGGCGATCCGTCTGATCCTGTAAACTATCGCGGCATAAGTTTGGTTAGTAATTTGGCCAAATTGTTCACGTCCATTTTGAATATGAGACTATTACTTTGGTCCGATACCTTTGACATTATAACTGATGCACAGATTGGATTTCGGCCGGAAAGTAGTACAGTTGATGCCATGTTTAGTTTATTAACTGTCATTCAGAAAACACTCTTCAGTAAGAATCGTTTGTATTGCTGTTTTGGAGACTACAAACAGGCGTTTGATACAGTATGTAGACTGAATTTATGGTTGAAATTGTCAAAAATTGATATAACAGGGAAACTTTTATCATTACTTAAATCAATGTATTCAAATGTGAAATCGTGTACGAATTGATGGTTTTTATTTAGGGCAGTTCACTAGTACAGTTGGTTTAATGCAAGGGGAAGTACTCTCTCCAATACTTTTTTCTTTGTACGTGAACGATTTTGAAATGGAATTTTTAAGTAACGGTAATGTACCGTATGAAGTACAGGAATTGTCTTTATTTTTGCTAATGTATGCCGATGATAAATTATGATTCTATTTTCTGATTCTGTAAAAGGCTTACAAGATATGTTAGACACACTTTTATTGTACACTCAAAAATGGGGTTTAACTGTAAACAATGCTAAAACAAAAATTATGGTATTTAGAGATGGTGTTAATGTGAGGGTTGAAGAAAAGTGGTATTTTGATGGTAATGTTATTGACATTGTTTATGAATTTTGTTATTTAGGTATACTGTTGAATTATAACGGAAAATTTTTAAAAACACAAAAACAATTAGCTAAGCAAGGTAGGAAAGCTGTATTTGCCTTGAAATCAAAAGTATCATCCTTATATTTGAATGTTTTCACATACCTTAATTTGTTTGTTAAATATATAAGTAGTATTTTATGCTATGGCAGTGAGATATGGTGCTTTCTTAAAGCTCAGAATATTGAAAAAGTTCCGTTAGTCCTCTATGTTGTGTCATCTGTACTATTATTTGTCTGTTTGTCTTTTTATTTTTGGCCATGGCGTTGTCAGTTTGTTTTCGATCTATGAGTTTGACTGTCCCTCTGGTATCTTTCGTCCCTCTTTTAGATTTTTGCAAAAATATTTTAGGTGTCAAACAATGTACAAAGAATATAATGGTGTATTATGAGCTTGGTAGATATCTTTTGATATATCTTAGATTGTATAATATTATAAGATACTGGTTTAAACTTTAATTTATCAACGAATAATTGTATTCTTAAAAATTGTTACCAAGAATAGGTACGGAATCAATGTAATAACAGAAATAGTTGGATTTATCAGCTGAAGTATTTATTGTTTAATTTGGGTCTGAATGACTTTTGGTATAACCAAGATAATTTAGTTGTAAGTGACACTCTTAAGTATTTTATCAAAACTAAAATATTTGATCAAGCTAATCAATACTTGAATCAATAATTGGATGGCTCGCCAAAGTGTTTTTTGTATAAATACTGTGTAAATAATGTTTGTTTACAATTTTACCTTACTAAACATGTGAATTTTAGAATGTGTCTAATGAGAATAAGATTGTCCTCCCACAACTTATTTGTTGAAACAGGCCGATATCACGGTGTTAATAGATCAGAAAGAAAATGCACTCTCTGTACTTTAAATACAATAGAAGACGAGTTTCATTTCATTTTACAGTGTGATTGTTATAATGCAATAAGGAGACAGTATATAAAGCCATATTATTATAGGCGTCCATCGTCATTTAAGCTTATACAGTTGTTGAGCACAGAAAATGTAAAAGACATATGTAACCTTTGTAAATTTCTTTTCCATGCATTTAAACGTAGAACAGACATGTTATAAGTAACCAATACTTAATATAGATCATTATTCTTCTCGGATGTATTCATTTATCAGTTATGTATGCATTATTTATTTATTTATCATTATTGTATTTGCATATATATTACATGTCTTTGTACTGATGAGCATTATTTGCTCAAAGTAATAAAAGAATTGAATTGAACAATTAAATTTTTATGGTAACCGAACAAAGCACCACTTCAAATATCAACCGTGTCACCACGACAAAGCTTTTTTTTTTATTCTCAACAATAATTATTGTACCTAATATATCAAACTAGAATTTTTCTTAAGTATCTTGAGGAATTTACACTGTTATGTAATAAATGTGATGAGTTAATGAATCTATTCTATTTAGTACCATTGGCTTACAATAGCTTTACAATATAAAACATATTTTGATTAATTCCTTTGATAATCCATGCCTTGAAAAAATTGGTATAATTACATGTACCCAGTCACATCGAGATCGATTTCAAGCTAATGAAGCAAATTAGTTTATTTATCTCATCTCAAGTTGAACAAACATTGGAATTGTTGACGATCTATAATTGGTAAGTACTTTTAAATAATGTTCTACTAATTAAACATCATTACCTACATCATTCTTGATTGTTAAAATTGAGAATGGAAATGGGGAATGTGTCAAAGAGACAACAACCCGACCAAAGAGCAGAAAACAGCCGTAGGCCACCAATGGGTCTTCAACACAGCGAGAAAATCACGCACCCTGAAGCGGGCTTCAGCTGGCCCCTAAACAAACATGTGTACTAGTTCAATGAAAACGGACGTCACTCTAAACTCCAAAAAAAAAAAAATGAACTAAAATTAAAAAACATACAAGACTAACAAAGGCCAGAGGCTCCTGACTTGGGACAGGCGCAATAATGCGGCGGGGTTAAACATGTTTTGTGAGATCTCAACCCTCCCCCTATACCTCTAGCCAATGTAGATTAAACAAACACACAGCAATACGCACAGTAAAACTCAGTTTAAAAGAAGTCCGAGTCCGATGTCAGAAGGTAACAAAAGAAACTAAGCAAAATGACAATGATACATAAATTAACAAAGGACAACTAGCAGTTACTGACATGCCAGCTCAAGACCTCAATTAAACTGATTGAAAGATTATGTCTTCATCATATGTTGTTTGTTTAACTTTCAGTGACAAATATTTCATCCATGTTCAGGACGATAACAAATTTACAACAAATTCTAAAGGAATGATCTGCAAAGATGGTCGACCAGGATAAAGTCAAGGCGGGAAGTTCGATTACTATTGGAAAATGAGAATATGTTGGATAGGGGCAGAAATGTTAGGTCAGGTCATTTATAGACCCATAAAAGAGATGTTTTAGTGCTGTTTTTTTAACACAATGAGAACGTGGCATTTTACCTTCACGGGGTATCCAGTTTCCGACTGGAAGTTTATTTTACATACAAACGATAACTGTACATGTATTAGAATAGATTCATACCATAGTACTCTTTATCTTTTGTATGTAATCTATAAATCAGAGATTACATCTCTTTTCATAATTTCGTTTGAACTCTTCAAGTCACGATTCAGATCTTATAACAAAATATCAACTCTCTTTTCTTTTGTCCCGCTGTTTAAAGTAGCTGTGTACAATATCTCGCTTCGTTAATTTTGTAAGTACACAAAGATTTACCTAAAGTATTTTGTAATCGTTTCATATGTGAAAGTTATATGTCTTATATTGAGCTCAACTTGATTCCGTTTCTTAGGACTGTTTTAGCAAAACAGGTAAATTATTATTCTATATCTGTAATATGGTCATCTATTAGCACAGCAATTGATTCGTTAACAGTAAGACAACTGCTCAATATTCTGTTTTGTTACAATTGTAACTTTTCATGTATTACACGTTATGGTCACACATCAAATAAGGCACTGACTTCCTTGTTTCTTTCTCTCACCAGATAATGAAAAGGATAGCTAACTCTCATTTATGACTGTATTTGGACGAAATCCAAAAGTAACCTATGTATGGCGATGTTAATGGTGGGGAACATGGATATATGATTTGTGTTATCATATCGTAAACTTCACAGTTGTGCACCTTCTATAATGGAATATTTTCTCATTTTTTCTGACATGTGAACTTTGTAACTTTTTTTGAGAAAAGACAGTTTTTTGTAATGAACTCCTCCTACAGTGCTTAACATAGATATTTGAAACTTCAAAGAGAGATTGCACACTTATTGAAGTTGTGCACTTTTTAATTAAGGGATGATTAGGAATTTCCCCAGACTTGGAAACTTAGTCATTTTTCAGCATAACTTACGAAAGTCGGTACCAGTTCTGTGTAATCCTCTCCTACAGTTTTCAAACCAAATCCCGTACAGTTAAGAGAAAGATTGCACACATATTGAAGTTGTGCACCTGCTACATATTTTATGAAATTGTTTGAGGAATGTTTTCCGAACTTGGAAACCTAGTCATTTTTTTTTAGCAAAAGGTCTCAACAGATGGTAACAGTTTTTGTTTTTAACCCAGATCTTTGGAACTTCACAGAAAGTTGAACTGCCATATCTTTCCTTATGGCATTGTTTAAAAAGAATCTGCATTTTTCCATTTAATATTTCTGTATAGTTTAATTTACAGTAAATACCATTCAGCATTGTTCGAGAAATAATCTGCACAACTCAGCCAATTGCGCCTTTAAACCTTTGATGCAATTTGTAAATAATTGTGGCAACTAAAGGTGTTTCGTATTTCGATTGCATCTCGAAACAACGGTTCATCAATTCACCTAATTTTTACTCAAAAGATTGAAGGGGTGTAAAAATATTGTCACCTTTATTTCTCCCAACCCACAGTTATTCCTTTAAAATGCTAATGAGAAGCGTTCGTTTGACTATAAAACACCGACCGTACGAGAGCTTTATAACGAGTCAATGTCGTTAAAAACCCCAATCATCATCGTTTGACTATAAAGCACCGACCGTACGAGTGCTTTATAGCGAGTCAATGTCGTTAAACCCCCCATCATCATCGTTTGACTATAAAGCACCGACCGTACGAGTGCTTTATAGCCAGTCAAGGTCGTTAAAAACCCCAATCATCATCGTTTGACTATAAAGCACCGACCGTACGAGGGCTTTATAGCCAGTCAAGGTCGTTAAAAACCCCAATCATCATCGTTTGACTATAAAGCACCGACCGTACGAGTGCTTTATAGCCAGTCAAGGTCGTTAAAAACCCCCATCATCATCGTTTGACTATAAAGCACCGACCGTACGAGGGCTTTATAGCCAGTCAAGGTCGTTAAAACCCCCAATCATCATCGTTTGACTATAAAGCACCGACCGTACGAGTGCTTTATAGCGAGTCAATGTCGTTAAACCCCCCATCATCATCGTTTGACTATAAAGCACCGACCGTACGAGGGCTTTATAGCCAGTCAATGTCGTTAAAAACCACAATCATCATCGTTTGACTATAAAGCACCGACCGTACGAGTGCTTTATAGCGAGTCAATGTCGTTAAACCCCCATCATCATCGTTTGACTATAAAGCACCGACCGTACGAGTGCTTTATAGCCAGTCAAGGTCGTTAAAAACCCCAATCATCATCGTTTGACTATAAAGCACCGACCGTACGAGGGCTTTATAGCCAGTCAAGGTCGTTAAAAACCCCAATCATCATCGTTTGACTATAAAGCACCGACCGTACGAGTGCTTTATAGCCAGTCAAGGTCGTTAAAAACCCCAATCATCATCGTTTGACTATAAAGCACCGACCGTACGAGGGCTTTATAGCCAGTCAAGGTCGTTAAAACCCCCAATCATCATCGTTTGACTATAAAGCACCGACCGTACGAGTGCTTTATAGCGAGTCAATGTCGTTAAACCCCCCATCATCATCGTTTGACTATAAAGCACCGACCGTACGAGGGCTTTATAGCCAGTCAATGTCGTTAAAAACCCCAATCATCATCGTTTGACTATAAAGCACCGACCGTACGAGTGCTTTATAGCGAGTCAATGTCGTTAAACCCCCCATCATCATCATCGTTTGACTATAAAGCACCGACCGTACGAGTGCTTTATAGCCAGTCAAGGTCGTTAAAAACCCCAATCATCATCGTTTGACTATAAAGCACCGACCGTACGAGGGCTTTATAGCCAGTCAAGGTCGTTAAAAACCCCAATCATCATCGTTTGACTATAAAGCACCGACCGTACGAGTGCTTTATAGCCAGTCAAGGTCGTTAAAAACCCCCATCATCATCGTTTGACTATAAAGCACCGACCGTACGAGGGCTTTATAGCCAGTCAAGGTCGTTAAAACCCCCCATCATCATCGTTTGACTATAAAGCACCGACCGTACGAGGGCTTTATAGCGAGTCAATGTCGTTAAAAAACCCCATCATCATCGTTTGACTATAAAGCACCGACCGTACGAGGGCTTTGTAGCCAGTCAAGGTCGTTAAAAACCCCCATCATCATCGTTTGACTATAAAGCACCGACCGTACGAGGGCTTTATAGCCAGTCAAGGTCGTTAAAAACCCCCATCATCATCGTTTGACTATAAAGCACCGACCGTACGAGTGCTTTATAGCCAGTCAAGGTCGTTAAAAACCCCAATCATCATCGTTTGACTATACAGGATGTTTAAATACACAGTCACGTTCGATTGGAATGTTGACGTTACGCAATAATTTTTCATGGGCTTAATTGCTTCCTCTTTCGAACATACCCTTTAATATATCAGACGTAATTTTCTGTCGAATCACATCACAAAACCAACCTACTGAAACCAATGATGTCGTAAATATGAACGAAATATTTGCCATGGGACGTTAAGAAAATTACACCACGATCAATCTTCTTTTTTTCACAACAATGTTTTCAAAACAAAGAGATCTGGATCAAATTATCATAAAGGAAACATATACCTCAAAAAGGCAACAAAAAAAAAAAAAACAACTGGTGCTTACAACATTATGAATGTCAGTGTACTCAGCTTAAAAATATTGCAAACCAGCAAATCAGGATAATCGAGCTTTAATCGTGCTACCTAAAATCCGTGTAACACATACGAAATGAAAATGTACAAGTGGATTATTTAAACACTCTATGCTTTTTCTGTACTCTGATTTCGACAATTGGATGACACATTGTAAATTCTACGACCCTATATAAATGCGAACCTGTGAACCAAGAAGACATTCGATAAGCCTTTAATTTTAAACACTATTTGTTTCGTAAAATGTCAATGAACAATACCTTTAAACTGGCCAGGTCAAGAATTATCCAGATCTGAATACTTTATTACATCGAAAGTTAAATAATCATGCATATACCAAAAAGGTCAAAATCAATATATTCATTTTCACTTGTAAGTTTTGTGCATCTAATTAAGAATTATTACCAACACAAATTGCTTTAATTGATATCCAAACACGACATTATTTACATAATTTAATGGTTAAGCTCAGGAAAATTTTTGTAGCATATTCGGTGTTAAAACATAAAAAAACATATATAATATACATTTTTACATGTTAAGGAGCAAAATAAACATTTAAAAAATTAATGAACATAGAAAATGATAGTGCGAGTGGGGCATCCGTGTACTATGGACACATTCTTGTTTCTTTCCTTTTTAAAATATTTTGTCACAGATGTGAATTCACTAACCTGCGACTTCTTTAATAGAATCTTCTGTAAAACTACCAATATTACATACACATACAAGCTGAAGTCTGAGACGTAGATAAAAATCGTGAATTGCAAAAGATGTGATTTCAAGAAGGGAGAAAATTATCCGGTTAGTCACGATGTACGAAGGGAAGCCACCTTTTATCGATAAATGATATTTGTTTGACCTTGCAGATCAGCTGTTTTTTTTTGTCAGTCGTGAATGAGGATAAATATTCACATGCATATTTATATATATTTAAATGTCTGTAAAAGGTACGATTTTTCTTTTTTTTCTAGATAACCGATGGGAAATTGCATTTCAAAATCGAAAGAAGAAACAGATTATGTAAGTATTTAATAAAAGCAAACACCGTTGAGAAAAGTATCGCATCAATAAACGAAGATTTTCAAATATTTTTAATTCAAATCAAATTTTAAAGAAATTCTATGCTAAAAAAGGAATACATGAATGAGAAATAGGTAAATTGCAATTTGATAATGTTGTTATATCTAATATTTTTTGTTGACGCCTGGTGTTGATGTGTTGTCTGTTTGCTGGCCAATTACACTTATACAACTACTGTAACAATTATATCATTAAATATTAATGTGTTGCCTTTAATTTTGGTAAATTATCTGTACGATTTTATTTATTAATATTATTTTCTTCTATTTTGGTGTTTCACATTGTCTTAAATATTATTTTGCTTTGCGTATTTTTTTTATTTTAAACTGAACTAATATTTTTCATATTTTGGTCAACGACAGGATAACAATTCATGTTACAATGACCCAAGTGACGTATATGTAACTATAGATGATAACGCAGTAAATGATATTCAAGATAATATAGCAGAGCCAGTAAATATTGATGAAAGCAGTATATATGATCAGGTAAAAATAACAATAACGAAAAAGAATTTTTTTTAAGTAGTAATCTTTCCTGTCATAATCATTATAGATGCATGTACATTGAATTTAATTTTTTAATTGATTTTCGTGTTTTGCAGTACCAAAATGAAAAGGTTGCGTAATGATATCTCAAGTTATTTATCAATTGATAAGCCCTAGTATAGTATTATATTTACATGCTCAATGTATTTGCAATTTTTTCCACAGTAAAAAAAGATAGCTTATCAGATAGATTACAAGATTTTGTTTTTAAATTTAACTTTTGTCTTCTGCAGTTATTTTCAAACAACCATATTTTGGTGGCAGCGATTGATTTTGGAACGTCGTATTCTGGATACGCATTTTCATTTCGACACGACTATCAACGAGATCAGCTTAAGATATCTACCAATCTGTGGGCACATAACAGCGGGCTATCAGCAAAGGCTCCATCAGCAGTTTTGATTGGTCCAGATCGTCAAGTTAAAGCTTTTGGATATGAAGCACACAGTAAATACAACGAATTGATAGAGAGTGGATATGAGACAAATCATCTATATTTTGAAAAGTTTAAGATGGTTTTGTATACTGTCGAGGTACATATACAGATTTATAATTGTCGTTTGCATTTACAGCTTATATATCAAATTATGAAAATCAGATAAAACACTTCTGGAATTTTCATCCAGTCATATGTTTCAAGGAATGGTTGCAAACAAAATTAACTGTAGATGTATTAATGGTTGTTATGCTCTTAAGTCGTTTTATAGGTTTGGCTTCCCAACTTTTGGCCCGTAGCATACGTGATATTGTTTACTCCAAAAACTTGTGTTTGGGAAGAAATCATAATTACATACATTTATAAAATAATTTACGAAAAACAAATATGACAGACATGAACCAACGACAACCACTGAACTACAGGCTCTTGACTTGGGACAAGCACATAAATTTTGTGGCGGGGTTAAACATGTTTGTGAGCGCTCAACCTCCCCCTAACCTGGCACAATGGTGTAACAGCACAACATAAGAACAAGCTATGAAAATCAGTTGCAATTGGCTTAACTCAAAAGATCTGTACGAGGCACAAAACAACTAACATAAAAACAATATTTTCAAAGCCCCAAAATAAGAGAACTCGAAGTTAAGGAAATCTAGTTCAAAGCCAATAACAACTAATGGATATATCATGTTCTCGAAGATTAAAGTATCAATCAGTACGCATCACACAAATTTAGTGTAAAAACGTCATAAACAGAACAGAGAAACGCATGATCTTATATAATGCCAAAATATAAGCAGATAGTATCGTATCGACAGGATGTGGGATCATGAGTTTACATACTTATACATATATAGCAATGTATATTTAGTTATGTTTTGATTTTTCAAAAACGAAATCAAGGTTAGTACCATTAAAAACAATATTTAAAGATTTTACTACCTGAACGTAATATGTTTATTCAAAGTATCAGTTAGTTTACATTGATCGTATCTAAGTTAACGGGCTTTAAAAACAACATCACCGTAAAAATAAGGATGTGATATTTCCCGTTTTTTGGGGGATTGTGTTGCTCAGTCTTTAGTTTTCTATGATGTATTTTGTATACTGTTCTTTGTCTCTTTTTTTCTGCATTGACGTTGTCAGTTTGTTTTTTTGACATGGCGTTGTCATTTTATTTTCCCCTTATGAGTTTGAATATCCCTTTGATTTCTTTCGCCTCTCCTTTGATAAGAACTCTACAGGTACAGCCAGAATGCTTAGTGTATGTTATAACTTGTAGTATGTAAACATTCTTTCAGAATCTTAACAACCTAACTGTAATCCAGGATATTTGTGGAAAGGAAATGCTTGCTATTGAAGTGTTTGGCTTGGTCATCGAATATCTCCGAAATCACCTGCTGAGTCGATTGGAGAGTCAAGACTCTAAATCAGGGCTTAAGGAGGATATGATACAGTGGGTACTTACTGTTCCTGCCATATGGGGTGAGAAAGCAAAACAGTTTATGCGATATGCGGCTGCTAAGGTACGTTTTGTTATTCGACACCACAAAAAAACAACAGCAAACAAACAGAATAAATACCCCAGAAACAACTTTTATTTGACCATTGAACCTCCAAAAGAAATTTCTTTGCGCCCTTAAGAACACTTAGTCTTGTCTATTAGCTTCTTATAACAATCTAGTCTTTACCAAAGCAATTCTGGTAGCATACAGGACCTCTTAAAATAAATTAAATGACACCGGATCTTAATCCAAATGCGGCTGCTGATGTTATATTGCTACTTTAATTAATTAGAAAGATCAAAGTTACAAAAAAGAAGTTATATCCGTGGTCTTAAAGCTTGCTTAATGTTATAAAACCAGCCCACACGTTCGTGTGTCGGTCTAAGTATGAGATCTATAACTGTTGTAGGCAAAGTTGACCTCAAATGGATTTGGCTATTTTTTTAGGTCCTTTTTGGTCATATACATGTAGCTCTTTAAACTGTTTCGGTTCTTTTACATCATTGGCTTTCAATTATTGGGCTTTGGGCATTCCTGATGAAGGTAAATACAGAAAAGCGCTTCGGACGCATGAAATTTACAACGTGCATTGTATTGTTTGTATTTTTTGTAGCCTTATTTCATGTTCAGCTGGATAAGTCAATGTTATCAACGTAGTCATTGAATACTGAATCAATCAAGAGGACACTGTGTATAAAGCAGAACATGAAGTTGTAGGAAACAGCGATAATCTGACCTAGATCTTAAATTGAGGATTTTGTGGAATCCATCAACCCCAATTTTACGGGTAAAATATCTTGGAATTTGGTTTTAAATAAGCGAAAGGCAGCTTAACAATTTGAAATTTCAAGCACTCCTCGATATCGAAAAATTGGAAAGAGGATGTGATGCCTCAAACGGGAAATGTAGCAATTAAGTTCACTGTCCAAAATTGTGATGCTTTATCAATGTGTTTATTATACTTTATATTTCAGGGAGGCATTCCAAACGAGCATTTAATTCTCGCTTTAGAACCAGAAGTTGCGTCACTTTACTGTAGGCATTTCCCACAGAATCTAACAATCTACGGAACAAGAAGTTTCACAGATGCATTTGAAAATGGATCAAAATACCTAGTGTTGGATATTGGAGGTACTGTACGACAAAAAGAAAATATTGACACCAATCGTACTTTTTGTAATTAAAACAAAAAAAATGGTACAGTATGCATAGTGACTGATTCTTTTAATGCAAATACAAAAAATGCTAAAAATTCGATCGTAAAAAGAGGATGCAACAAAAACAATAAAAGTTAGAATTTGGTGTATTAATCTATGACACGAAATTCGTACACGCTACTGACACAAACCAAAGCAGAGGAATAAAGCTTGTTTAACTGACACAAACCAAAGCAAAAGAATAACGCTTGTTTAACTGACACAAACCAAGGCAAAGGAATAACGCTTGTTTAACTGACACAAACCAAAGCAAAGGAATAACGTTTGTTTAACTACTGTTCTTCTACTTGCTTGCTAAAGAATTCCCTATCACTTGTCTGATTGGTGTCAATCATGCAATCATGCTACATCTGTATAAAAAAAAGAAATAACAAGTCAAATAAAAGTATAGCAATCAAATATGATTGGATAAGATAAATATAGTTATTTAAGAAAAAACGTTGTTTCATCGACATTCGCTCCTTCTTATACTGTTCGGTGATTAAGAAATGTAAATATGATCATTTTTTGTTTTAATAGTTAAAATCAAAAGTAAATTTAAAAAAATGTTTAAATACTGTATATTTCACCTCTAAAATATGAATTTTAACGAACTTCAACCATTCTCCATATATGCGGTCTTCCCAGTGACAAAATGTTACTATTACTTTAAAAAAGAATTGAATATAAAAATGTAAGCACATATATCTGTTGAAAGGCTGACAAAACATATATTTTTGGTTTGTAGGTGGAACAGTTGATGTGACGGCGCACGAAATACAAAGTGATGGAACACTTAAAGAGTTGTACCAAGCCTCTGGGGGCTCGTGGGGTGGTACAACAGTAGATAACGAATTCAAGAAACTACTTATTACGATATTTGGTTCCGAAGTTATTGCCGAAACAACTACAGATTATCCAAGCGAAATGGTAGATCTAATGCTAGATTTTGAAATGAAAAAGAGAACTTTCGAACCGGGCATTACTAAACACGTGAGTTTAAAATGCCCTACATGTCTGTTTTCTACTTATCAGAAGAAAAACAATGCCAGTATAGTAGAAACCATTGTGAACACCCCAATCGGTGACAAAATCAAATTTTTAAGAGATAAGCTAATTATATATTCAGAGAAGTTTGAAAGTTTGTTTGATAATACTGTTAATAAATTAGTAATGCATCTGAGGAAACTACTTCATTTAGAACAGTTGATGGATATAACGACAATCCTTCTTGTCGGTGGCTTTTCAGATTCCATTATCATCAAAAACAGCATTTTGTCAAATTTTCCAAATATCCGTATCATTAACCCAGAGGATTGTTCTCTGGCAGTCCTAAAAGGTGCAGTTTTGTATGGACACAATCCAAAGATAATAAAATCAAGAATATGCAAGTTTTCATATGGAATCGGCATTCATGTCAAGTTTGAGGATGGTGTTCACCCAGAGGAAAGAAAACGTACAATAAGTGGTAGTGATATTTGTGATGATGTCTTCGATGTTCACTTAAATCTAGGAGAAAGAGTTGAAATCAATACACCGAGATTAGAAAAAGTTTACCATGCACAAAATAATCCTGCCAAAATTGCCTACCTGGACGTGTATGCTTCTACTTCTGAATCCCCAATGTTTGTGACAGACGAATCGTGCAATAAAATAGGATACGTTATCCTGGAACTCTCAGGAGATAAGGAGACAAACGAAAGTACAGAGGGGACAGAAACGAAAATATTTGTCAGTTTTCATTACATTGGCTCCGAACTAGGAGTGGTTGTAAGAGAAGCAAGCACAGACAAAATTTTAAGAGCAAAATTTGATTTCATGGGATAAATATTGCTTTAGGCTATTATGAAAAAAACTCTTTGCTTGTTTATTTATTATCTTTTATAACATGCGTACTGTAAAGCAACGGTACTGTTTTATGGACCCTGATTATACATGACGTTGCGCACGATGTTGGTACTACTTAGCGTTTCACGACGTTCCTCAAAATAAGGCGATTTCGACGATTTCAAAGAAAGTTTCAGGCGTTCAAGCATATTATTGATGATGTCAATTTACTGTTGTAAATTTGGTAACCGATTTCAGTTTGTCTGAAAAAATGCATAAATGGCCTGTAAAGACTGACAACTCCTGTAAATGAATTTCATTAAAAAAATATCTATACGACCACTTTGAGTTTTATTTGTAAATAATTGATAATTTTCCTTTCGGCAGCAGTTCGCATTAATGAATCCGATACAATAATGTCCAAATTTACACAGATTTATTTTTAATATAAATTAGATTTTGAATTCATATTCTCCTATGTTTTGCATATTTATTCCTTTTGTTGCATTTCTTCCCGTTTCCGTTTCCTTTCTATATTTTATCATTTCCCGATGCTTTCTTTGTTGCAAAATATTTAGGAAGTTAAACATTCGGGACTCATGTTTTAAATTTTCTCATTCCCGTATTTTTGTGGCATATCCTTTGTTTGTTATAATTGCCAGCAATGGGTTTTCTTTATTTTATTTTATTAACAAAAAAAATATACATGTTACTTTTGACGATTTAAAACTTGCAGATAGACAATGTTCCTTATATAAAACAAATTAATATGCTATAAAAAAAAACCCCTAAGATCCCGATATTTTTTTTATATCGATCTCATTTGGTCAACATTTGAATTTAAACTTAAACTATTCCTTTCTCATACATTGGTTGTATTGTAATTTATACATGTATTTTTATTTTCATTCGAACTAAACTGGAAACAAATAATTACGATATAAAATTAAAAACCAGAGCATGACATCAATTACGTTTTGCGAATGTTGGGACAAAACGGCTATACTTTTTGAAACGATCTAAAAACCTTGTTGCCTAACGAAAAAATATTAAACACTATATTGCGTAAGAAGAAAAACAGAAAAACCTTTACCGCCAAGTTTTATTTTTTATGATCTAACTATGCTTATTTGATAGACAGCTGGTTAAAACCTCAATTTTAAAGAAAATACGGCGTTTTTTTTCGTTGGGACAAGATGGCTATACTTTTTGAAGTCATTGCAATAGAAACTATACGCATGGTTTCCGGCAAAAAAATATCATGAACCAGGAGAAAAGTAAAAAAACTTTCAAAATATAATAAATATTTTTTTCTCTCAGCTTTTTCAATTTCACGGTATAAATGCGCAAACCCGAAATATACTTACTTTGCATACGGTTGGACATTTTTCAGACCGTTTACAAAAATAACATTTTCCGGATTACGGTTTCAGGGGTATTGATTTTGCTTTAACACGCGAATAATTATAACAATAGCAATATTATTGTGAAGTTTTACGATGATCAGAGAAAAAATACCGTAGGAGAGAAACGGAACTTTGATCTTTTGCACACAAAATGAAACGTTGGACATTACGTTTTTGCGTAAAAATGGGATAATTAAGTGTTATAATTCCTGGTATTTTAAATTTCGGTTCCTTTTTTTTCTTTAATTTCAAGTCTAATGGAATGAATTCAATCAGAAATCACTATATTTTTATCGAACTGACCAGTCTACGTATTTATTTTTATGCTAATCTATAGCAAAATGGAATTGGTACCAACATCGTGCGCAACGTCACATATATATAAACGTAATTACGGGAATATCTTTTTCCATAATTGAAACATTATTTGATTATTCGATTTATGTGAGGAAAAACAGTTAAAATATTTGAAATGATTAAAATTTATTATTTTTTTTTATCTCGTACCTTTTAGTTTAAAGAATGTAATATACTTTATATCTTGACAGTCATCATTGTGAAGATTTTGACGAAATTTAAGATAATTTTATCAATAGATTCACAACTGATAGCCTATGGCAAGGTGCCCATTTATTTATTTATCTAACAATAAAATGACTAAATGTTCATATTATGTATCTTTTGGAACTGATATCTTTGGTATTACTAAATAACAATTTATTAAAATGTAAGCAATGCACAAACTATGGTTATATTGAAACTAAATCTGTTAATTGTCTATCAAATGTCTAAAAGATACTGATAGTCTTATACATTTTCTGCGTAACTGTATATTTTCATCTTCCTTGTTGAAGATATATTTGTATATTTTCGTTCCGGTGGTTTCATAAGAAGCATTCATCAATGTTACAGTTTTAATACAAGTAAGTCATTGTTTTTGTTATTTCGGATTGTAACCAACCATAATTGCTGTACATGTACAAATTGTCTATAGAAATTGCAACCCAAATCTTTAAACTTTTATCACCGACGTTTTACACACATTAATACAAGAGTACCTGGGTATCAAAAACATTATAGACATGTATATAGCATATAATATATTTATTCTAAGGCATATTGCAATCCATGGACAAATCGAACAAACCCGTTGTTATCATTGATAGATTGGATTTTACTTTAATCTAAAATAGGCAGTTTGAAATAGATCCATTGCAATAATCGCCTTTGTTATAGATTTGCGTTTAGTGTCTAAAACATTTTAACAAAAGGATCTAGATATGAGCTGTGCTTGTGGTTGTTCATTAGAAGATTCGATTAATTTGTTCTTAGAATTCTATTCTACGTTAATTCTAGAAATCTCGTATTTGAAAATATCCAACTCTTACTTGTTATTCAATAGAGCAATTGTGGAACAGGAGAAATTGAATTTAAATATATATATTTGCTGTCATCTTGTATTTTTGTATATTAAAATTATTTGACGAGGATTATGTTAAGTTGTTGTTTTTTATACAAATAAAACAAGTTTATTGATAATCAGTTTTATCCAAGCATGAGCATGATATTTTTGTAACCCCCGCCGTAGACAACGGGGGCATTAAGTGCCCCTTTATAACTTGGATAATTGCAATTGTTTTCGTTTCCGCACTACATGTATATTTTAGTTTTCTTCGTCCAAATTTGATGAAACTCATACCCAATGCTCAGAAGCAAAACTAGTAGACAGAGTTCGAATTTGGGCAGTGAGTACATTACTGTTCTAGAGTTAAACCACTTTTTAACCTTTTAAAATTGCAAAACTTGAGGTGGGGAATTCGTGTCCTCAGACACATTCTTCTTTTATTTATTAAAAAACGTTTTGCAAATAATTTATTTCCTGAAATTCAACGCTTCATCGAATTGTGATCATGATTTGCGAAAGCGATAGTACCTGGAGAGAACCAGCGGCCTTAAGCAGTAAAATTTGCAATCATTAAGCTTGTCAATTAAGATCGGAGTCGAATGCACCTCGTCAGGTACAGGGTAAAAACTCATAACCTTGGAGTTGACAGGCTGGTGAGCACTGTATATTTATCTTTAAGACCAGTCAGCCATCGAGGCCACAAAAAGAAATAATTATGTTACATTGTCAATGTTTTGTTATTGTTGTTTGTCTTTTAGTAGTTTTGAGGTAGGTTTGACTATGATGTTGTCTGTTTATATTGGACTTTTGGTTTTAGATTGTCTCTTTGGTATCCTCTTTCCCTTTTTTAAATAAGTAGATAATTTTGGTGGGCTAGCAAAGTATAGACAAAGCAGGTTATAATTTTGATGTTTATTTGTTTTGTTTTTTTTATGAAGGAGTCTTTAAAAATAAATAATTCATCTATACATAATTATGATAACATTATACATTTGAGAACATCAACTATCAATATGAATTCACAGCTTAAGAAAAAAATAAAAAAGTTTGGTAACAACATTTTTGATTAAAATTTGAGAAAACGCTAAGGTACAATCAGTGTAATTGCTTTCCCTTTACTCAAATTAAAGTTGTTGTTTTTTTATCAGTCAAAATTCATCAATTTCGTGTTGGTCTTGTTTCAGTAAGGTAAATCATCCATCTCAAAAGTATTGCCGTCAGTATTATAGCATTAGTATAGGATGTCATGATTTCATATCTGCTGTTTAGTTGTTTTGAGTTTGATATTTTAGTAAATTCGGTCATTTTTTTATTCAGTAATGCGCAGTTTGTTCTGCTTGTACCTGAGGTTTTCGTATCCATTAAATTGAGTTAAGTTTTAATGGCTAAGAATCCTTTTTTTTAAATGTGCACTGCCTTGTGACTCTTATCTTACTGTTCATGCTTGAAAACAAGTGAGCATTAAAAATTGAAGAAAATGTTCTCAAATGTATATCAAAATCATTTGCAGATAAAGGATGGGGAATTGTATTACAAAGCAAAGGAATCATGGCTACGTAAGTAATAATTCATTTCAAATACTGGGATTTTAATTCATTCGAGACCACCGCTATATGAAAATAATAATAATAATAAAAAACAAACAAAAAAACACAAAATACAAATGTGGTGTCTCCGAAGCACTTTTCTTGATTTACCTTTATCAGGAATGCTCAGCCAAAAAAAGTTCGAAGTCAAGGATGTATGAGTACTTGAATACGTACAGTGCTTTATGAGCAGTAATTAACGATTGCATTACAGGTTCTTTTTACATTTAACTTTGTAATATAGTGTTTGCTTATACATGTACTTTATACAAGTATTTAAGTGTAAAACTTCCTTTATTCAATATGAATTTTACATTTGATCATAGCAATTTAGTATTTCCAGCAGTTCTTTACCTCGGCTTATGAATTTAATATTTACTTTTTATTTTATTTTCATTTAAAACTGTCTCCGTCTTACTAAGGTATTAAGGTCTACGGAGCCCCTAAAGTGCCAAAGATGAAATGTATAATATTTGTGCGCACGACTTTAAATCTTGTGCGCACAACTTTTAACCTTGTGCGCACAACTTTAAATCTTGTGCGCACAACTTTTAATCTTGTGCACACAACTTTTAAACTTGTGCGCACAACTTTTTTTATCTTCTGCGCACAACTTTTGTAAACTTTTGCGCACTACTTTTAATCTTGTGCGCAAAACTTTTAAACTTGTGCACACAACTTTTTAACTTGTGCACATAACATTAATCTTGTGCGCACAACTTTTAATCTTGTGCGCACAACTTTTGTAAACTTGTGCGCACTACATTTAATCTTGTGCGCACAACTTTTAATCTTGTGTGCACAACTTTTGTAAACTTGTGCGCACTACAATTAATCTTGTGGGCACAACCTTTAATCTTGTGCGCACAACTTTTGTAAACTTGTGCGCACTACATTTAATCTTGTGCGCACAACTTTTTATCTTGTGCGCACAACTTTTAAACTTGTGCGCACAACTTTTTTTAACTTGTGCGCACTACATTTAATCTTGTGCGCACAACTTTTAAACTTATGCGCACAACTTTTAAACTTGAACGTACGACTTTTTAAACTGTCCACAGAACTGTCAGTCATATATGTTTATAAACTTGCTTGCATGTGCCAGTTCTTTTTATAATCAAACAAGGATGGATCTGATTTTCACGTATTTCATTTTGGGAATTGAACCTAATTCGAATATTCTAGATGTTGGCCGAAGGACCATGTGAGCTATTGTCATCAATAAACGTCCGTCGTCCGCCAGTCCACCATTCACATTTTCATTTTCTCCTCTGAAACCACTTGGTCAATTCGGACCAAACTTGGTAGGAATGATCCTTGGTAAAAGGGGATTCAGGTTTTTTTTTCAAATGGTGGTCAATAGGTTAATGGGGTATAAGAACTTGAGGTCCAAAGTTTAAATATAGGCTTCAAAGGGGGAAAGCTTTAAAAATCTTCTTAAAAACCAGAGTTACAAGGCAGTCATATTGTCTGACACATCAGTAGGACGTGATGTTTCAAGTTTGTAAAAATGAAAGTCCATAGGGTCCGAGCAATTGGGGTCCAAAATTTAACATTGGTTTTAATTGGAAAATGCTTTCAAAATCTTGTTCTTATGAATCAACAGTAGCAATGCAGTCATATTTTGCATGAAACATTAAAAGGATATGAAGATTCAATTTTGTACAAATGAATGTGCACGGGTCCATGCGGTTCGAGCACTTAATGTCCAGAGTTTAACACAGATATACATGTATATATATATATATAAATATTTAGAATAAGTGACGACAAGGCAGTCATATTCTGCATGAAGCATCGGAGAGACATGAATATTCATTTTGGTACAAATGAAGGTGAGGGTGTCCTTTGGATGCGAGCTCCCTAGGAGTCTAAAGTTGAATATCCATAGGCTTAAATAGGAAAAGCATTTAATATTTTCAAACTAACCAACCATGTTTTGCATGACGCATTAATAGGACATAAAGATTCAAATTTATATAAATCAATGTCCAGTGATTTTTGGGTACCAGCATTTATGAGGACAAAGATTAACATAGTCTTCAATGGACAACAACTTTAAAAATCTTCTTTAGAACCAAGTATGATAATGCAGTCATATCTTGAATTAAGCACAAGTAGGATATGAAGGTCTGGGATCCAAGCACTGGACGTCCGAAGATTAAAATACGCTCTAATTGGAAAAAGCTATTAAAATCCTCTCTAGAACCAGCAATGACATGACAGTTATATTTATCGAGTCTCTGTTTAGGGGGTGCCAGTAATCATACACTCATTGATTGTTGTGCTTTGGTAATCACTTAAAAATGAAATGTTTTCTTCGGTAATCATTAAACCATTTTCTTCAGTAATAAAATCATCATGCAACCAATTAATCGTTAAAAATAACACATTGTGATCAAGCAATCAGCGTTAAAATGACCTGATAATCATGTAATCAAATACCCTAACAGAGTCCCGTATCGTTATCAACATACAGCAAAGAATTCCTTCTTGAACTTGTTTTGCGGTGAGACCGTTGAAAGCGTCACTGTGACTTTCAGATGAAGAACAGCAATAAAACTGCTGTTCCTTTGCTTTTGGTTTTGTCAAGTGTATGTAGAATTTTTTTGTCACGAATTTATACACCGTATTCATTGTTTCTTATTACCCAAACAATTATTGTTCACAAACGACGACAGACCTACACATTATAATCAAGTAAATATTTGCATCAGTATAGACATTGGGGAAATTAGTGTGTAAGATATTAAAAGTTGAGGGTATTTTTTTTTAAATGATGCTCTACACATTAAAGAATTTAATGGTTCTACGTGTTTCTGGTACAATTAAACTAGGCTACGAATAAAAAAGAGTCAATTATGATCAACATAAATTTTTTTTACACACTTTCATGACTTTATAAATCTTCCATCACTTCAATACAGTCCACTTTATTGAGTTAAATTAAAAAAAAAGGACACGGGGTAATGCCAATCCCATGTACAAACAAATCAAGGTTTCACCAATTGTGAGCGATCAAATCTTCTACTGTGTGTTCCATTACTGCAATAAAGTTCACCTGTATCTTGTTAAATGAAAAAAAGACACATGTTCATGCGAATGCCATGTACAAAAACAATCTAGTTTCCACCAGTTTTGAAAGGTCAAATCTTCTAATGTATGAATAAGTTAGTCAAAGGTGCACACCAGTTTTCACAGTAAAATTCCAAAATATAAAAAATACTTTTTGATCTGCAGACAAACATGTATCTATCAAAACTTCAATTTGGTAATTAAATGATGCCCATCACCCAAATATCATCGATAAGAAACTGTTAAATTCTGTTCTAAATGAGGGATAATTTTTGCAACTGTTTGATGCTTCCAAAAGTCTCCCACAAAAAGTGTGGGCAATAAATCGTAGAGCCAGACCATCTGTTGAATCAAACTGAATGGAAATATCTGCCTGGTCTTTCAACATTAAGTCAGACGCTGTACAAAAGCGTAACAACAATTTCAATTTGGCCTGATCTATTTCTTTAATGTATTTTCTCAAGTACTGCATGTCATCTCTATCAGCAGAAGAAATGTTTTCAGGAAAGATAAGGCTTCCCAAAACGTTTTTTTACAGTCGGTTGTAAAGTATTGTAAGCTGTTGTAATTTCGTTGGATTGATAAAGGTTCCCAAGTCCTGGACACTGGACTGAAACAGTCTGCAATGTACTTTGGTTGCTGAACTAGTTCTGTTAAAATGTGCAATTTCCTTTATGATTAAGTTAATATTGTTGTCAGGTTTTTCCACTTTCTACAAGAGTGGCTATCTAGAAAATCTGCAAGATCTTTGTCGACCTCTGCAAAGTTTTCCAAAGCTAATAACACAGCTTCATTTTCACATGGAGACATGCACTTTAAAAAGATATCCATAATATCCGATTTTACCTCACCAAACATTGCTTCTTCAAATATGACTCAGTCTGGTGCAATTAAAACATTAAAGATTTCAAGTTGTGCGCACGAGATTTAAAGTTGTGCGCACAATATTTAAAGATGTGCGCACAAGATTTAAAGTCGCGCGCATAAATATTTAATTTCATTTTTGGTACTTAAGGGGCTTTGTAAAGGTCTAAACGTGTTTTAGTAATTTTATAATTTCAAATAAGAAAAAAAAAAGAATGACAGAAAATGCTAAAGCCTATACATAGACATCAAACGAAAAGAGAATGTATTGATAAGATTCAAAATCAGTAAAATCATTTTAGCCTTTCGGAAATTATGTTAATTGAATGGATTAGTGATCAGATTCACTACGATTTCACAAACATCTCGAAATTGACATATTGGATTAATTTTACACACTGTAACATCTTTGTTAAATACATCTTCTAACAAAATATCTTTCTGAGTAAAGCCTTAGCTCATGTCTAGATATTAATGATAATAACTCAAAATGAGGCTTTTGGGCAGATTATTTAAAATAGTGAGATTTGGTTTAATCAATTATTCACTAGAGACCAAAGGACGTGGAGCTATTGGTCACCCATACCATATACTACTCAAGCTATCAAAATCCCCGGCATGACGAAATATGAAATAATTCAGATTACAAAATCAACTGTCTAATCTATGCTAAAACAATAAACCAAACACAAATATGGCAGAAACAAACGAAACTGGGTTTGTGAGCGCTTAACCTTTCCCCTATGCTTGCACAGCGATGTAAAGGCACAGTATAAACAAAAATTTGCAAAATTCAGTTGGAATTGTTCATCAGATAGATACGAAGCTCAAACTAAAGAAAAAAAAAGACATGAAGCACCGATCAAAGTGTACTCGCAGATCTGAAAGCTGATTCTAAACCGATTACAGATAATTGATAAATATTGTCGATTACAACTAATTAATAAATATTGTCTTCCCAGACTTAAATATCTATATGATTCCACCCAACGGTTTAGTGTAAAGAATTATTCATACACAGTCTGTTTATAGTGCATGACGAATAATTCCTGAGTCCACAGCTACTACACATCCTACTAACTGATACATTATTTAATGGTCTCGTCCACGTGGTCTCGTCATGTATAGGTATGACATATCTCCTGCTGAACATTAAGCAAACGAAATTCAGTTATTTGTAAAATATAAAAAGAAAGATTTTTGTTTGACTTTTTACAGAATTTCAAATAGAATGTAGGTTCATTCAAGTCATAGTATGATCCATCTCTTTCAGGTAGATACTTATATACCCAATCCAGATGATCCAGACGAAATATATTCCAGGATAGGTGAAGTGAACGGAACACCATTTGCAGAATCATTGGTTTTTCAGGTAAAATGGCAAAAATGTAAACAATATGCAATTTTTTTTAGCGCTTGTATAACTGAACTTTTTAAATGTGTGGAATTGTTTTAAGAAAGAACGACGATTGTCCAGTGTCTATTTTTTTTTATTCAAAAACATCACGAACTTGTCCGTCTATAGATATTAGTCTATAAAAAAGACTAACCAGCAGACGTAATATTACCGGATCATCAAGAGTAGGCGATACTGTGCAGATGAGGAAAGAAAAAATATGAGTATTACGATTTGAGCAACGATACTAATATATTATGGTAATATACGAAGAGGATGTTATAAAATCGTGTTGACAAATTACGTCTAAACAAATAACCTTCTTCAGTGTCAAATGTAATACAATACAAGTTGTTTATGTTCATATATTTTTTGTTTTATCATCGTGCACCAAGTAGTGCACAGAAAATTAAAAAAAAATTGTCATAGCATAACAATTGTTGTATACTAGCTAGGTTTTAGAAGAATTAAATAACGCAGTAATCAGATTCCACAGGGGGCTCGGAAAAGGATACACCACGCCATGATCAAATGAATAACAAACAACAGTCAATGGCACGTTACACAGAAAGATAAAGCAAGAAGAACACCACTAAAAATATCCGGAGCGTAAGTAAATCAAGTTCCACTTCTAATATTCGATATGTATGGAAACCATGTTTTAACACCACTTAATAAGTGTCTAAAATATATATTCTCCAGACGCCAATAAAGAATCACATTTTGGTAGCAGCCATTGATTTTGGAACATCCTTTTCTGGATACGCCTATTCATTCCGACATGATTATGAAAGAGACAAGCTAAAAATATATACCAATATGTGGGCACATAACAGCGGACTTTCAGCAAAGGCTCCATCAGCAGTTTTGATTGGTCCAGATCGTCAAGTGAAAGCTTTTGGATATGAAGCTCACAGGAAATACAATGAATTGATAGAACGTGAAGAGGACATGGATCATCTATACTTCGAAAAGTTCAAAATGATTTTGTTTACCACGGAGGTATAAACATTTAAAATTTTTAAAAGAATTGAAAAAAAAAACACAAATTAAATTGCTTAGATCGACAACTTGTCAAGCTTTACTTTCATCGGAAACACTAAGAGGCAACGGTTTTGAAAGCAAATTAAAGATGTATGAATATATGAGAAAACAACAGTATGTATAACATAAATTAAATACATGAAAAGAAGGAGTAGTTTTCAATACCACTAGAAAGAATTATTACATATTTTTAACCAAATTTTAAATGAAGAATTATCATTCTGTTTGAAAAAATAATAAAATGGTAACGTGAAAACATTCAAACATACAGCTTGTTTCTTTTTCTCATTCTATATAAAGATAATAAGCAGTGGTATGAAAACTTTCTGTTCGATCAAATAAAAAAAAGTAACGCTTGAATACAAATCCAACCTGATATTAATTAATGCACAAGACAACTGCAGTTCAAGAATAAATTGATGTTTAGAATATGCATACTGTTGATTATATTTATCTATTTACCTTTTAAATTTAACTGGTCATTTCTCATTTTACGGCAGTTTTTCATGAAATTTATATCGTTTACATACAACTAAAAATATAAATATGACAACGGATTTTTGAGTTTGTTTCTTTGTGTAAGATGAAACACTAAAGTGTCCCAGCTAAATTAAACTCCATTTTCCTCAAGCTAGTCTACGGGCATATTGTATTCTATATTTTCTTTAATTGTAAGGTTTTGAACACTTCCGGTACTAGAAGTAGCTACGCAAAGATCCCTTATTGTGCATATTGAAATTATTGAAAATATAAAATGGGATATTTAAGACGCAATTAATCGGAAGCAAACAAAATGGCTATGTAGCAAAACATGCATGATGATACCCGTATCATATAAACTCAAGTTATTGGACAACATGTGAAGCGACTACTTAAATCTGACAATTTAAGTCCTGGAACTACAAAGCAGAACATAGAAACAAATCTATAGGGAGTTTCCTTTGTGTTAAGATTACATGAGAACTGATTAAAGAAAATTTGAGTTATCGTACGAAGTGTTGATAGACGGACGATTTGACGGACATTGATATACATTAATACAAATGAGACAACTAACCACCAGAGTCCATATGACTGCACAACCTTCAACAATGAACAAGACCTAAACCGTATGCATTTGTCAGCTATAAAGGGCCACAACCTGACAAATGTGAAACAATTCAAACGAGAAAACAAAGGGTTTTGATTTATGACAAAACAGTCATAGAAAAACATTTATGGCAAACAGCAATCAATGACAACCACTGAAGAACAGGCTACATATTAAAATAAGAAGATGTGGTATGCTAGCCAATGAGACGACTATCTCCCAGTGATCATCAAATGAAGAAGAAAATTATACTAATAGTTCACCGTACAGTTATTTTCATTTTTGGTTATAAAACATGTACATTTTATCATCAGTTTTTGCTGAATTATAGTGTTATACAACAAATATTTCAGAATCTAAACAACAAAACTTTTATACGTGATATTTCCGGAAAGGAGATGCTTGCTATAGAGATGTTTGCTTTGGTACTTGGATACCTACGGAACCATCTAATGCAAAGACTAGAGAACCGTGATACCAATGTTATACTGGAAGAAAACATGATACAATGGGTTCTAACTGTTCCAGCAATATGGAGTGAAAAGGCAAAACAGTTTATGCGATATGCAGCGGCTAAAGTAATTAACTGAATTTACTTGAATTTGAGAAACTTAGCATATTTGTTTATGAACATGTGCCAAACTCTCCTAAAATACCCACAAGCTTTGTTTATCGGTAAAACATTTAAACAGTTTTGATTTTAAATGAACTTTCAAAATTAACTTAAGCTAAAAAATGTTCATGATTGCTAATAAGTTAATGTAACTCTGATATATAATGAACACATAAATAAAAGACTGAGTGTACATTTTGTATAAATACATATTAAACTTACAGTGACTGTACATGAATTTCAGGGTGGTATTCCGAGTAAACACCTAATTCTCGCCTTGGAACCGGAAGGTGCATCATTATACTGTATATATCTACCACAATGCATCACCACGCAAGGAAAACAAATGAATGAAAACGCCTTAGAAAATGGAACAAAGTACATAGTGTTGGACATTGGAGGTAGTTTTATTATAATTCAGAAATAAATAATTATGTAAAAATACAGGCCAATAAGATATTAAAATGTTAATTTCTCTATTAAAATTTTAGTGTTCATACTATTCTGAACTAGAAATTTCCATATAAAATAACAGCAGAAACGATTTAGAATCAAATTTCGAAGTATCGAAGTCACACAATAATGTTTTGGGTCAGTTGTATATTAAAATTGTAGGAGTTTTATCGACCCCAGTTAATATCTTCTATTTAATCGAAACTTGTATTCGAGTGGGGGGATTGTCGGGCAAATGGATTTTTATATTCATATTTCTAGTATTCATTTCATATCTGTATATCTTAATTTTTAGTATTGTTTCTGGTAGATAATTAAATATACATAAATGTTTGGTTTTACGAATAAACTCAATTTATTAGTCCTCATTTTTATTTTACTTAATACATCTTTGTCTACTTTCATTTGCACACCGTTTGTAAAACAGAATCAATCGTAATCGTTAACTAGACAGCACGTATAGATCAGTCTGTGTATTTAAGCAGATATAAGAACAAAACATTACCATCAACCTTCTTGTACCTCTTACTTTTATTTATGGTAATTCATCGACGCAAATGCTGTAACGATATGTTGCCGTCATAGAAATGCTTTATGTCATATATATTCAGTACAACATAACAATATGTTGTTGTAATACACGTGTTATTAATTGTGTTTGTGTCTTTGCTATTCATAAAACACTTACCTGTATTGATTTGTATTGCTTGTTCCATGTATCTTTTGTTCGTCCGGAAATAATAATTCAAAAGATTTTTTGATTGATTTCTGTCTGCTCAACAACAGCACATATTCCACGAGAGCTCTAGACTAGAATTATTCAAAACTAATTCAATAAAATTGAGAATGGAAATGGGGAATATGTCAAAGAGACAACAACCCGACCAAAGAGCAGACAACAGCCGAAGGCCACCAATAGTTTGGTTTTGCAAAGTGTGTCGACCAGGATAAATATCAAAAGATTTACAATGCCTTTTAAAACTGAAAGTGTTGTGGATCGAAGCAATTATTCGTTACTTGAGACAGGTCACCTACGGACCCCTAAATCAGGTGTTGCAATAACATTCGCGGTACCAATTACATATGTATGCTACATATTTTGCGCATTTTGACGACTAATGTCTCTCTAGTAATGCTGTTATCCTAAATCTAATACAACTTTGGAGTTATTTAATGCCCCTGTCCCGACTGGACGAGGGTGCATGTTTATACATCCCTAACAGCCATCAGGACGATCTTTTTTGGCAGCAATGGTTTACTACCTTGATCCTAGATTAGTGACCTAAAAATGAATCAAGGACTTCCTCTCAACGTATGTGACTATTTATCCAAGTCAGATAGCATCTGGAAACCACTTTTCTTCAGTCCACTATGGACCATTTTTTTAAGTAAAGTTTCAATCCCCTATGAAACATTTGATTTTGCATTTGGAAACCACTTTTCTGCACAAAAAGCGGTCAATTTATAGTAATAATGACAATGAACTTTATTATTGCCACCTCATTGACTCAATATCATTACGTATCTTCCTGGTATGCGTGATCATACATGTAGGTAAGGTTGCAATCCGATAAAGTTTTGGAGTTAGTATCCGGAAACGAAATGACGGACGGGTCAAACACTATACCCCTGGCTTCTTCATAGTGTGGGATATAATTAAAAACCTTCTTATATTAGAGAACTGAAAATGATTTAAAAAAATAGCAGACAGAATATTCGGAAAACACGAAAGAAAGAATCTAATTTTATGTTTCAGGCGGGACTGTTGATGTAACAGCTCATGAAATACAAAGAGATGGAACTCTCCAAGAACTATATCAAGCAACAGGTGGTTGCTGGGGTGGTTCAACCATAGATCTGGAGTTTCAGGGTTTGTTATGCACGATATTTGGATCCGATGTCATTTCTAAAATAAATGATGAACATCCAAATGAAATGATAGATATACTGCTCGATTTTGAAATGATAAAGAGAAGCTATGAACCTGGAGTAACTTCTCATATCAGTATTAAATGTCCTTCGTGTTTATTTGAGGTTTATGAAAAGATACATGGTGTCAGCATCAGGGAAGATGTAAACAATACCTGTACAGGTGAAAAGGTGAAATTTGTTAGAGATAAGCTACTTATATATGCGGATACGTATGAAGGATTCTATACTAAAACTTTGAATAAACTTGTCAATCATCTTAGACAACTCTTACATTTAGACACATTGTCAGACATATCAACATTACTTCTTGTAGGGGGGTTTGCTGAATCAAAAGTGATAAAAGACAGCATCGTTACAAACTTCCCCCTACTTCGTGTTATAAATCCAGACGATTGTTCCTTGGCAGTGTTAAAAGGTGCTGTGTTGTATGGTCACGACCAAAAGGCGATTCGATCCAGAATTTGCAAATGTTCCTACGGAATTGGAACTCACGCCAACTTTAAGGAAGGAATCCACCCGGAAACAAAGAAGCATATTGTTAATGGTATAGAGATATGTGATGATATTTTTGATATTCACATGAACTTGGGAGAAAGAGTTGAAATAGGTCAACCCAGGTTAGAAAAAATCTACCATCGGCGCGTTCGTCCTGATTCTTCAAATACAGCCTCTCTGTATGTCTATGCATCCACTTCTAAATCTCCCATGTTTGTTACCGACGACTCTTGTAATGTGTTAGGCTGTTTGTTCATTGAGCTTTCTGGGGTTAAAGATAAAAATGTACAAAGTGAGCTTTCTTGGGATAAAGATACAAAAGTACAAAGTGAGCTTTCTGGGGATAAGGATAAAAAAGTACAAAGTGCGCTTTCTGGGGATACAGATACAGCAGTACAAAGCGTGCTCGTCAGTTTTCATTACGTTGGTACAGAACTAGGGGTGATTGTTCGAGTGGCGAAGACCGGGATAGTCTTGGGAGCAAAATTCGACTTTCTTTGTTAAAATTCCAGAGTTGAACTTGGAAAAAATAATTTAGGGCGTTTAGCAGTGTCAATATATAAGCACAACTTGGATAAACAAAATAATAATATACGTTATCGCTATTTTACGAATTTTTCCTTTGATCTTGCTGACTGATAATTTCCGTTCTCAGCGGAGTCGAGTGATATGAAAACGGAGTCGAGTGATATGAAAATTATCGCTAGAAACTAAGGGAACACGTGCCGTTGTCGAGGAAATTAACAACGTCTTCATATGTAAAATACCGATAAACAGATTATCATTGGTCATCTCAACTCGATTGCTTTTCTCACTTTCGCCGTACCGGCTCATGCGAGAAAATCAATCTCGTTGAGATAACCAACGATAATCTATAATTATAAAAACAATTGTGTAGATATTGATATTTTGTTCATGTAATTGTCAGATTTATATAAAAAGAACACACCACTTTAAGAATTATTTGGGTAAGGAAGTTGATAATTTCTTTGCTAAAATGAAAAAAAAAAAAAAAAAAAAATGGCCATAATTCTAAAAAATTAAATATATGCTAAAAAAATATGCAATAGTTCATGACATAAAATCCCTACATACTCTTGACAAAACCCATACTAAAGTAAAGTGCTTCATTACTGTCCTTTGTGTCAAAGTCACAATAAGGTATACATATTTATTACATCTTCTTTTTTAATATTTACAAAACAGAACAAGAGCCATCACGGTCCTGTTATTCAATTCTTAGCAAATGTATGTATTGGTTTCTTTTCTGTTTTAACAGAGTTTTTTTGTTGAAGTCCCCCAAAGAGTGACAGAGGAATCGAAATTTGCTCACTTTGGTCTTCTTCCGATCGACAGTAAAACCCTTGCCAAAGTTGGGCGTCCGTTTGGCTGTGGGAGATGTACAAGTACGCAGACAGAATTATGATCTGCTACTTCGTGAAGAGAGAGAGTGCCATGCTCTCTGTACGTTGAAAATCCTTGCAACAAAACGTTAAGGGGTCCGTAGGTGGCCTGTTTCATGGCAAAATTTCTATCCCTATCCAATATATCCTCATTTTCCAGTGGCAGTCAAAATTTCTCCAACCTCCATCCCGGAAGGCCTCTATACATGTAACAGTACCTACCTATTGTATATATTGTTAGTTCGTTCTCGTCCTGAACATGCATGAAATATTTGCCATTGGACGTGAAGCAACTAACAATTAATCAATCAATTTATTGAATTCCGCTTACTTAAAAATTACAATTGACATGTTTAATGTTTAGAAAAAACATATTTTGATAACAATGTAATTCTTCAATAATTCGATGTAATTGAGTCGGAGTTTAGATGATTTACGATACATATGCATGTCTGTCAAACATTTGCATTAATAATAGTTTTATACTACTTCAACATGATAATAGAACATCCGTCACGGTCTTCTATTTTCTACTTTTGAGATGATTTCAGCGCAAAGAAAACTCGTATATATACCATATTTTCATTTAACTTTATTTCATTACGTGTAAAGATATTCTACTAAAAAGTAGTAAGATATGTAAACTAGAACTATTTTTGTATGTACATGTATTTAACCTAGAGTTAGTTTTCTTCGTGTTGTTTGTTTAACTTCACAAATTTTAAATAAACTGTTTTGCAATAAAACAGTTTAGCATTCTTTTGAAGAAAATCAAACCTGTTAAATAAAGACGAAAAATATATAAAGATATATCTTATCAAATAAAATAGAATGTCAATATATATATAATACGCGTGTCATATTTTTTCTACTTTGCTAAGTCCTTATGCTAACATTCCTTTACTTACTGATGACGTTAATATTGTCACCGGGGAGATTGGAGGCTGGACAGATTGTGGAACAAGAGCCTGAATGAGTGGCTGCAAGTTACTGCATTGTGTGATGCCCCTGACAACACAATAGATGAATACCCTGAATGGCAATGACAGGCTGGGTGACTGACTGAGTCGGTTGTTTGGAACTTTGAATATGAAACTCTGGTTCAAACTACAAAATGTACCACCTGCAACTCTGGAACACGCGATGTATAATTCAATTATTCAGCATGGAATACTTTTGTTATGGATGGATTGTGTTAATTGTAAAGTCTATAAAGTGTACACCTATAATTAATTTGACATGAATACACGTAACATCTGACTATTAAATTGAGTGATATTGTTCAATGTCAATATTTTACTACTTTTAAAACTTGGAAGAATAGATTTAAATTGATAATCTGATAACAACTAAAACATATAATATCAAATCATTTTAGTTTAAAGTCCTGGATATGAAATACACGAAAATAAAGTATGAAATAAATTATTAAACACAGTGAATTGAAGTCTAAAATATCAAAATTGTAAATTGTATATGCTCGGTCACAATATGTTGACTTTCTGGTATGGGAAATATAATTTCAGGATTGCTTTATGCGCGTTTGCAGCAGCAACATTAAAAACGTTCTGAGCATTTTCATAACCAATAATAAAATAGCAAGGATTTCGATAGCATTACTTTACCACAACTTTAACCACAAATATTGAGAAGACTTGTCATGAAAGAATGGTTCCTTTTGTCCGTATTTAATTCAGGAAGGCGCATTTTTTTCGTTCAGTGTCAATGCTTATACCACCAGCAAAGCAAACAAGACGCTCATACTAATCTTTTGGATCGTTCTCTTAGCCTAGCCTAGTACATACATTTCTTGACAAAGTTACAAGTAGACAAGTGGTGTTCAATATTGGTGTCCTGTCTTTTTGTTAGGAATCATATTTTGTAATCTCAACACAAATGACTAGTAGTTTTAATTTTACGCTATTTATTTGCCTTCTGTTATTCCACTGATGAAAAGGGGTTTCCAATCTAAGTAAAAAAAAAGAAAAAAAAAACTAGTTCAACCCCGTTCATGTGCCCAACATCATGGACCTCGTCAAAAGTGGTCTTAATTCATATCTTGTATGTTTTTTGTCAATAAGGAAAATTGATATTCATAGAAGATCTTACTCATTGATAGTCTCTTATAATTAAATGCATATTTTAGACCCCAAGACGACAACACATGTCTTTTACAGACAGTTTAATTAAAACGACTTTCAGTGTTTTTCGTGTCATTTGGTTGACATATTGGCGTTTACCCAACATCTCCTTTTTATTCGTGCTTAGAAATATGATAAATGTTTAGTTTCCTGTTTCTTTTCTTCATGTTGAACTGGATGTTATAGTGTTAGAAAGCATGATTTCAACGTTAATAGATCACGTACTTTCAGTAACTGCACATGTGATCTTTCGGAGTTAAAAAACTGTTATTCTTTAATGATAATTCACAGATGAATGTTGAATGTATCACTTAAAAAAAATCGAGACACTTAACTATAGGAAAAACAACAACGATACACTGGCTCCTTAACGGATGGTTCCTTTAGGGACTGATAGTCCATCAGCAGAGGTTTCGGCCCTTTGGTAAAGGTAGAAAAAGACACTCAAATAAGCAAGAACAGAACATTCAAAGTCTAATGTTAGCTTTGTCCAAGCTCGCAAGTAGTGACTAAGACCTCAAGATGCAGATAAGATACATGTACATGTATACACTGTCACTGTACTAATTCAATTGTCAGAGTAAAGAATGCAAATTAAATAAGAACGAACGAACATTTATTCCGTTTCGCCTTCATTATCAATTCCATATTTTGAGATATTGTTTTTTCTATTTACTAAATGAAATTATGATAATTCTATCGTTCATCTTAGATATGAGACATTTGCATATCCATTGTAATTTTGTATGGATTATACAAATATATTATATTTACATTTTTGATGTGCATCGCAGACACTTGTTTTACTGCCATTATTGATTACTGAATCCAAGTTCAGAAAAACGTCACTATAGCAACACTTTCCAAAATTAGAATCTTGTTTCACTATTTCGTTTTGACTTTGTAGTTTTGAAAGTTGAAAAAGTTTTCATTTCATTTTTATCTTGTTTCTTAATATCAGAATCTTCAATACCAACACTTCTTTTTCTTTGAGGGAATACGAACTCGTCCATCTTGTTCATCGTATTTTTCAAGACTTTCCGCACCTTTTGAGTTCTTGTTCTCACATTATCTGGTACAGTTTGGTAAGCTGCGTCTCTAAAAACTTTATTATGACTAAGATAAATTATAGGTTTCATAACATACGTCATATGAGTGATTGGTACGACCATAGAATACCATCCACCCCACATCGAAAAAGAGGCGTACGCATCCAGGTAGCAAACAATGACGTATGGAATCCACATTACCAAGGCAACACCCCACATGATTACATAAGTCACAGTCAAGTGAATGTCCATATGCTCCTCAGATTTTTCATAAACGTGTTCTATCAATGTAGCATGATCAGCATTCGTTTTTTCGTTCGATAAAGGTAATGGGAACAGTTCACCCTGTATCTCGGCTTCCGATCGAGATGTTGTTGACCCTGGTAAGTCGCAATTCTGTATCATCTCGGTACTCAAAACTTCAATTTCCGGGGCAATTTCCAGTCTTGAACTAGTCGTATCGATGTGTGATATGGATAAAGCTTCGGTGGTTTCCCTTGAAAGTCTGCAAGTATTTTCTTTTTCAATTATTAGTTCATGATTATTATTTATCACTTCACCCCTACCAAATTTATTTATTCTTTTGCTAGCTACATCTACTTCCGTCTGTAGTTCTGAAAGCATATTTAGAATATTTTCCCGTTTTCTTCCAATAAGAACAAGAAAAGCAATAGATAAACCAGATGGAATATAAATAGCAAATATAAATAATAGATTCATACCTATTATATTGTCGGTATGTTTGATATTGCAGAGATGTTCGTACGAAATATACTCCAAGACACCCCATCCAGTTAATGGTAGTATTCCGACAAACAGAAACACAGCCCACAAACAAACAATGATAGTTATTGAAAATTTGTTTCTGCCTAGTGTTTTGTCATAAAGATCAGAGCCCGAAATCTTCATCCAACGTTCTATGAATATTATCAGCTGTAGATAAAATGTCATTAACAAACACCCTGTTACCAAATCGCCGCTTACGATGCACACAAATTCGGATAATA